TAAAAAATTTTTTTTTTTATTTTTTTTTTTTTGGAAGTTTAAAAAATATTTTTAGGTATTTTCCTTTTTTCCCCCATGGACTTTTTTTGGGCCCCCCCCCCTTTCCCGGAAAATGCCCCCCCCCCCCCCCGCAAGTGTCTGTGTCCATGGGTTACGCTTATATGCTGGCATACAAATCATTTGGTTGATTTCTTACCCCCCCCCCCCCCACTCCCCTACCTTCCCTCTGAAGTTTGACAGTCTGTTCCATGCTTCTCTGTCTCTGGATCTATTTATGTTCATAAAAATATGGAACGTTTCATGAATTTGCAAGTCATCCTTGAGCAGGGGCCATGCTAATCTTCTCTGTATTGTTCTAATTTTAGTATATGTGCTGCCGAAGTGAGCACTTTTTTTTTTATCTTTCTTAATGTTACCCCTTTTTCTTACCCTCTTCAATATGGGTCTGTACTTCTAGCCTTGACCCTCTAATTTTCTCATTCCAAATATCCCAAGACATCTCATAGATTGCAATGGCTCTAATGACCTCCTACATGCTGATGACTTGCAAAGTCATTCTCCAGTCCTGGCTAAGTTTCAGACACATGTAGCCCACTGCTCCTCAACTGGCTATAATAGGAGATAGTTGTCCTTCCGGCAGTATTGGCAATGCCAGATAGTTTGGTTGTCACAAGTGGGTGGGTAGGATGCATTTGTTATCTTGTAGGTAGAGGGCAAGGATGCTGCTGACCATTCTATAATGCTGAACTCAGCCTTCTAACCATTCCCATCAAAGCCCCAGCCTGTGAGTGAAAAAATCTCCTATGATTCCAGCCACATGTTTCTTCCAAACTACAGCCCCAGATGTGGTAGAGTAGACATAAAGCATTTCTGCTGAGCCCTGTCCAACATCTTGGCCTGCAGAATCCATGAGCATAATGAATTGGTGGTTGTTTTATGTCACTAAGTTTCGAAATAGTTTGCCATGCCATATATGACTGGACAATTCTCCAAACTGCACTCACCTTCTCCCAGACCCTCTGCTCTATCTATTTTTATAGGTTTATGTTTCTATGTCAGTCCATGACAAGACAAGTTGTAGGGTTACCCAAGTCAGGAGTCTGGGGCTGATTCCAGTCTCTTTTATTTTAACCTTCACATGTAACCAATTAGCAAATTTTCCCAATTTTAAGTTATTTATATTTCTTGCATCAATCATTTCTTTACAGTCGAATTCAAACCCT